AATTTTTTTAAACCCATAATTGCAGCAAATACTGACAAAAGAGGCACGTATCCCAGAGGCAAAGTACTGGGGGGAACAAGCACTATAAATGGGGCGGTAAATACACGCGGCAACTCAAAAAATTACGATGCCTGGGTAGAACTGGGAAACGATGGATGGTCTTATGAAGAATGTTTGCCATACTTTAAAAAATTGGAAAATGCTGACTTTTCGGTCGATATTGATAGAAGCGCGCATGGATTCGATGGGCCAGTGCATGTAAATGTGCCAGAAGACACGCCTGTTTTGGTAAGACAATTAAACAGGTTTAAGCATTTAAAATACGGTGGCAGAAAAATTTTAAACTCACAAAAAAAACATGTAATTTAATAAGAATGTCTCCAAACCTCAACATCAACTTTTATCATTGCGGTTGTAGACAGAAGAACTGATAAACGCCTTCCTAGAATTAGGTAAAACAGAAGGAGATTATAACGGCGATGATCAGTTCGTGGTAAGTAGAGTTCAAGTATTGTTGGATTATAATACGCGATCCGGCACTGCCCACTCCTACATCCGTCCAGTTTTAAACAGAACAAACCTGGTGGTGAGTTTGGACTCACTAGCCACTAAAATTCTCATTTCCGATAACGTTGCTACTGGGATTGAGTTTTGGAAAAATGGAACCAAATATACCGCGTCTGCTGAAAAGGAAGTTATTCTATCGGCTGGAGTAATCAACTCTCCTCAACTTTTGATGCTTTCCGGGATTGGCCCAAAGGAAGAACTTGATAAGCATGATATTGACATCATAGCGGACTTACCAGTGGGGCAATATTTCAGCGATCAGATTTTCTATCAAGGACTGTTTTATAAGTAAGCTGAACTATTAATATTATTATCTGACTCATTAATATCATACAGGCGCTCTTTAGTTTGGTTTGAATTTGTTTCAGAACAAACTATACGTTTTACAACAATACTTTACTGGAAAATTTGGATCTGTGGTATCACAACAAACGACCACTCACTGATACTCTTACGTTTCAACTAATCACTTTTTACAATGTAGATGGAAATAGTAGCGATACTCCGGATATTGAAATAATAATTCCAGGCCCTCCAAATATTGGCCCCAATTACGGAAAAGCGTAAGTAGTTTATGCGAACTCGACCTCTTATTTTCATCCTGCCATTATTTGCCAATATAAATCCTAATTGTTTCAAGGTACACAAACTCCACTTACGCGCAAGCTTTCGACGTTTTGGACGAATATACGGACTTCGCTGTGGGCCTATATTTCCTACAACCTAAATCTGTTGGAGAAATTACTTTAGCATCAGCAGATCCCAGAGATTTTCCTTTGATTAACCCGAATTATTTTTCTAATCCCGATGACTTGGAAACATTATACAAAGCAGAGGAAATCGCTAGAAATTTAGAAAACACAACAGCGTTCCAACGTATGGGAGTCCAACCAACCATCCTAGATCTTCCAGATTGCGACGAAAATTATGAAAAACTTTCAAAAGATTGGTGGATATGCAGCATGCAATATCTAGCAGCTGCGGTAAGTATCTAATTATCTTCTCGCCAAATTACCTGAAACCCGTAAGATATGAGTGATTATGTGAATATTCTCAGGGAAAGCATTGCATTGGAACTACAAGAATGGGAAATGATACACAAAACTCCGTAGTGAGTTCAACACTCAAAGTTCACGGTATCGATAAGTTACGAGTGGTTGATGCTGGAGTGATTCCTCAACAAATATCGGGACATATTAGTACTCCCGTAATGATGATTGCGGAAAAAGCTGCCGATTTAATTAAGAATGAATACTCTTGAACATAATAACTTTTTTTTAACTATCATTCCTACACTCTATTTTTGTAGTATTTTAGATTAAGGCATTGTCTTACCTTATCGTTGTATGTCCAAGACGAATAATAAATATTAGTAGACACAACTACAACCATAGCAATAGTTCACGTCTATCCTGTTTCCTCAAATGTATCCGATATATATTATATGCTTGTAACTATTTCACGTTGTTTATGCGTAAATGCACGTGTTTATTCTCGGATTAGGTAAATCTGATTAATGCACCATCATAAACCTTTGGTAGGTAGTTTGCCGAAAACCCAAGCTAACTCCTTATATGACTTTAAGATACCCATTTTGTTTAAATAACACCTACAAACGTTTTTGGTCCTGTTTTGAAAATTTTGGTATGATTAATCAATCGGAAAATAAACTAAACATTGCTCGTTATGACCGTAAACAGTATTTGAATATCGAAAAAAGAGAACGAAAGTTACCAAATTTGCTTGCAAAATGACGTCACGCGAGAACGTTGTTTTACTGACTGTGACGTAGAGTGGCCCAAATCCTACGCTAGTTATACCTATGCCCATAACCAGCAGAATTTACACTTGCATATTGCATAGAAGCAAGCTAAGCGTTTTTAATACTTTAACATTTAAGGCATAATAAATATGATTTATTATGCCATGTGGGTTTCACGATATCTATACTTTATAGTATTAGCTTTCTTGTAATCTGACCATGTAAGAGCTTGTTTCACTGGATCTTCCGGCTTCTGAATTTAAATTTCTAAACAATCGATTATGGCGTGAACTTTACTATAATCTGCACGAAAAGGTATAGGTTTTTTAGACGTTTTTTAACTTTATTACGTGGCATCCAGACTATTAAACTCTTTAACATCTCGCTAATTAATCGAAGGGATTTTGCAAAAATTCTACTCGTTGTACTTGCGGAAAATTCAAAATCATCACCTAGTTCAGCAAAACTTTTGCGAATTCGAATTTGTTGAAGAACTAGATAAACATTTACAAAACCCAATCTTGTAGTTTCCCTGAGCAGCTTAATTGTAAATAAAGCTTTATTTATACCCAGGTATGCATTTAAAGCGTCTAAAGCGTCATTTATAATGTTAAGTCTATTACGTTTCAAAACTACGGCTCGTACAGGAGCGTCACTATTTCGTTTTCTGTCTTTTTGGCACACAAATTTATGTGGAATAACATTTTTTCATTCTTTTCTGAGCTCGCATCATTTTCCACTCCATAAAATTTTCCATGTCTTTTTCAAGCTGTGATATAAAATGAAGAAAAATTGCACATAATGAAGCAAAAACCTAAATCTAACGAACACACAGGGTTAAGAACCCTATAAATATTATTGCCTTTATGCGAACTTACATTTAAATGATCCTCACAGACATAAATCTTACTTTTTGCAGAAAGATCGGCGCAGTTTCGCAGCGCTGCTTTCAACCACAA